GGGGCCACATCGCGCCAAGGGCATTAACATAAGAAGCCCCCTTTCATGTTCCCTATTTGCTGGTAAACCAGGATTGTTGTGGCGAGAGCCTCCATGGATGTGAAGAGCAGAGGATGAACATTCCCCCTCAAGGAATCCACGTCTAGACAAGGAATAAGGGGAGGAGAAACCTGACTATGGGAACCAGACATTGAAGGTCTTTTCCTTCTACGACGTGGGAATGACGGCTTCATTCGGAAATGACTTCTGAACTCAATGACCTGATCGTGTGAACGGCTGAGTATGCTCTGCGGTATAAAATGAGAATGTAAACTCTCTCCAGCGCGGCATGCACAGTTTTTCCTAGGAGGTTTTTCCAATATTGTGCCAAAGGCACACCTCGAGGAGCAGCACAGTGATGTAGAAAATGCGCTATCTCTTGACCTCAGATTTGAAAAGAGAGAAATTTAATTCTAAGCGACGGGTATCGGGGAATCAATCTCCATTGAGCCATGCAGTTTTTCCTGATCAAAACAGCTTCGTTTTTCTGGCCCAATCACGGCACTCATTTAATCAAGAAAGTTTCCGAAGGTTTCAACAGAGACCACCATGCATCATCTTGGAACGTACAGAAATCTACGTGCGGGAGAAATCGTTAGAGTCATGTTCCCTCCTCGTTATCAGCTCAGTCTGGTCTCTTTGATGGGCAAATAGAAGAAAGCCAAACTGCAAACAAACAACGTGGAAATTGAAGGAGAGATCCTTGCATCAGGAATTCCATAACTTCATAATTTATTGTCACTTCATAAGAATTAGGGACTAAGAGCCCACATCACCACGCTCAAGGAATGTAATGTTGAGGATGGAGGGAAAGAGAATGATTTTAAGCATTAAAAAAATGGAGACGAGGTTTATGCACTGAGCTCAGTGGGTTTATGATCCCTTTATTGCAGGCCTGCCATTTCGCATACAGGATATGTGGAGAATAGCCTGTTACAGCGGTCTCAGAGTAAGTTATCTACACTAAGGGTGACTTTTTCATGTTATTATAAGTCATCTTCAAAATTTCACTTGTGACCCCGAGGAGCGCATCTAAAGGAAGAGATGGGTGCAAGATAATTGGAGCGATATGCGCCAAATTAGCTAAATATAAATGTAAAAAAATTGAAGTTCCACACTATTTTGAAACAGGAGCCCCATGGCCACATCGATATCTCGAGGTGATCGAATACAGGACGTGGAAAGTGAAGGGAAGGAGGAGGAGAGGGTGGGGGGGAAGTTCTTCCTCCTCAATCAGATAAGAGACCTGTTAGAGGTATATTGGCTTTTAAGAACTGCTTTGAATCGGAGTGAGCCCTGAGGGGAATGAGGGGCGAGGAGACGCTATGCGACGTCTATGAAACCTTCGACCCAGCTCAATTTTCAGGAAGAGTAAGAATCCCCCGTTCATTGCCTACTTTCTTTTCAAAATTCGAATGCGTAAATATTATGATGGAATCAAGATCATCATAATCAATGGGTAAATTTATTCAAATATGCATTGTCTTCCCCCACATCCTCAATCCTTTTTAAAATTCCCAGACACAATTCCCAATAAGAGAGTCATGGATTTAAATTTTCAAATGTCGGTAATTTTATGAAAATTAGTCTCCAAAACAAATACGTTAAGAACAAATCTTACATATTAGCATCTTTTTCATTTCTTTTTACCTCAAGCTTCCATTAAAACGATTAAATGCGCGGGAGGAAAGGCGGGAAATGAAAGAGATGAGCCCCTTGATGCCGCTTCAATGGAAAGCAAGCGTTCTTCCTGGAGGAAGCAGGAACTGAGGATTTCATTTTCACTTCATCATCTGGCGACCGAGGAACACTAATCGTATCACCTTCAGTTAACTGAAGTTCCAAGAGTTGCTTCCACCTAGGGGAAACATTTTTGCAAAGAAAGAGATGGCAAAGAAGGAAAGCGACTGTACGAACTTAGATATTGCATGAATGAGCATGAATGAGTCTCATTGGAAAGGATCAAGAACGGGGGGAAAGGGAAAGGCAGTTTGATTTGAAAGTTCCTTATACTTCCCTTCTCGATTCTTCCTCATATGTAGGTCCTTAGATGCAGGACGGAATAGAAGGGAGAAACGGAAAATGGAAGAAAGCTATGGGAGCAGCGGATTGAAATTCCCGTTTTGCTTCTCGAGTAGAGAGTCACTTCATGGGAAAAATAAAAAATTAAATTGAAGAAATATGAGGGAGAGAAGGAAGAGCTGCACTTTTTCGCATTTTTTCTCTGCCTTCTAATATCCAGTCCATCCTTAGCCACCTTCCTTAATTGAAGGGTTGGGAAAGTAATAAAATCGCCGGTTCATCCAAGGACTCAATTAACATGGTGTATTTCGCTCCAATTATTTGCAGAATTGAAACGAAAATATACCTGTTTTCCAAGAATTTCAGAAACGGAGATACGAGAAACTAGAAACTGAGGAGTCATCAAAGGGATGAGATCTATTTTGTGGAAAGAAAATGCTTTCGGAGTGGAGTCTATAATTTAACATGAACTGGATTCGGATTTGAGATTGCGCATATTCCAACCATCGTGATCTTGGGCCTTTCCCTCTTACAATCGAGTATGTGCAAGTTTTCTCGTGTACACACGGAGACTTATTCACATTCCCTCTTCCCTCTGTTCATTAGGACAAATCTCTGCTTGCACACTGTTGGCACAATGCAGCAGAAGCATGTTTTCATGCTCACTGGCATAAATTCGGAAAAATTCACTCACCGATCTATCCAAATCCACAATGTAGTGGCATTGTACTAAAAAGTACTTGATGCCTGTTCATTACATTTTCCTCTGCCCAGTGTCTTCCACGGGGGAGGAAGAGGCGGATAACCGAAACGTTTACACAAAGACAGGCAGGTGGCTTCGTTTTATGGCAGGAGTGTCAAACTCAATAAGGTTGGAGGCCGGATCGGAAACCGGAGGCCTTCAGGAGTGATCAGTGGCCTCAATATAAGCCTGATACCTCATCTTTTATGCAAAGAAGCTGAAATTTGCAGTACTTTTCCGTAACTGACTGTTGAAGAAGACTTTAACGAGCCGGATAAAATGAACTGGTGGGCTGGATTCGGCCCACGGGCAGCAGTTTGAATGTTTTTTTTATGGGATACAGTGGAGGGAATCTCGCTTCTCCTTCATCTCCTCTCTTGGAAATAGAATTGACTCTCCCGCTTTCCCATGAGTAATTAAGACTCATTTGGGTTGTCTGACACTTCCCCCACTTGTGAACCTTACCTGTTTTTTTTTTTTAAATTGGAAGCATTCATTTTCATACTGGCCAGGTCAACATTTTCTTTCCGTCTTCGAATCTCATATTACCGTTAATAAGGGGCTTTCTCGAATCCTCCCTTGCAATCCAGGAACATTGCCTAGGGTGGAAGTGCAACAGGCAAGTTGGTAGCTACACCAGACTGGGGAAGTGAAACCAGGACGGGGTGGGGTGAGTGGAAACTGTCTAGATGAGAAATAACGCTTTGTTCTTTCTCGTCTCACTGACTGGCCTGTTTCCATAAGAAATGGGTACTTTTCCATCGCTGGAGCGAATACATTAACGTCGAGTGTTAAACCCAAACTTCTACTCTCATTGGGCCTGATCGGCCCGATGAGATCCATGGGTTGAAAACGATTCACCTGACAGGCGATCGAGTTTTGGTTCGGTTGTGGTCTTGAGTTAAACTGGGCTGAGCGGGTCAAGTTAAAAAAAAAAATTGGACTCTGGTGGAACTCCGGCGGGCTGTCAGACAGACAGATGGGTAGTGAGACAGAAAATAAGAGAGTAAGAGAGGGAGGCACAAAAGCCCTCTGTTATACCGACATGCGGCCTCTAGGATACGAATTGCCTTTGGAAGAGCGGGTTTGAGCACTTGCAACGCACTGGCGATCCAATCTATTCTCTGTTTCGCCATTTTCACCGGGTTTTCGTTCATGGGGCACAATTAATGATTACCGTGTTCGTTCACTCACTGTCATTGTCGCCCATTCCAACTTAACGAAATCGCAGGTGCAGAAGCTTGATTCGAGAAAAAGGACTCGAGTTGAGCTGACCTGTGGTCTGGGGCAAGTCGTGACTTGACTTGCCCCAGAATGGACAAGGGGAAAAATTTTAATTGCAAATCGCAAAAACCAATGTAATATATATTCTCTTTGCTCACAAGAATTCAAGAGCTGCCCTAACTGCATTTAACCTTGGGAAAGCATTTTCTCTTCCTGTTATGTAGGGATTCACATTGAGACCCATTTTGACAACAAAACTGCTGTCAATAGATCTTAACTGTGGGATCTTCCAGATTCACTTTTTTCCAAGAGCCATCCTCCCAAAGGTTAAATTATATTCATGCATTGATGAATGTGATGAATGTGGAGAGAGGTAAAAGGAGAGGTGGAAACGAAAGGATTTCATTCATACCTGGGGCAAGGGGAGGCAATCCTGCCAATTCTCGATCCATTTCCCACAATATGAGCGCCGTGTGATGATAGAAAAAGACGGGAACCTTCCCTCCAAAAAAGATTGTCTCCGATTTCTCCAGGTTAAATGGGATCTGGCGGTTTCCATACACCGGAGGCAGCTTCTCAACCGACATCCATGGGGCGTTCTCATGCGCTAAGGGAGAGGAATGAAGTAGAAACAATTATGGATATAACAACATGAATTTGAAATGTGTTGACTAGTTTTCAACTTATTCCTGTCTCCTTAGCTAGTGAACCGATTAAATGCATGTCCTGAAACAAACAACACCAACCACTGTCTATTTCGAACTGAAATACTCCAGTTCCTTCCCAAAATGATATTTCCCTTTTTCTTTTCCCTAGAAAGATATTCTACGATATATTTGAGTCCCAATATCGGGAGTCCAGTTAACTGTCTCTCCCACATACGCAAGAAGAGGAGACGGGAGTAGGTACTTTCGGAAGAGGGAGAAAGAATTTGAAAGTTGAAGAAAGCTGAGAGATCAAAAGGGCATTCCTGCATATATCGGGAGGAACAGAACAGGTCGGCAAAAAAAATAACAGGACCAAAATATGAGATATGTTGGACCCAATGACCTGCTACATTTTCCCTCTTTTGATTTCTTGAAGGGCGTATTGTCACCCCTCACCCTCACTAGTCAGAGTCCGGTTTTAATGCGAGAAACAGGAAAATGGGAAAAGGGAAAACTATTTATCAATAAGCCCGAATCTAGAATTTATAAGCTTTCCATCTCAAGCAAGCATGGATAAAAAATATAGAGAAATAGAAATGTGTAGCTCCTGTAGATGTTAAACCATGCGCTTCAAGAAAGGGTCACAAACAGGATGTGGAGGTTATTTGGTTATCTAATGAAGTCAATTTCACCCCTCTCGCAATCTGCCTTTCATAATAACTTTTAGTTTGCTCCATCCTCAATTTCGTTGGGGTCACCCATGCATAGTTTCTCTGCATGACCACATAATAAAACGAGAAACGGTGTGAGAGGACGACCTAAGGACAAATCAATACAAAATCCAGTAAATCCCTCCTATAAATGGTTTTGGTAAGTGCGACGGTAGATGTCGTTATGAGAACGATGAGAATATTCTGCCATATGCATTACATATTGATGCAATGAGAACTTGAACAGAAGATAGAGCAGGAGTCAGGCTCCCATCCTGTGGGAAGCAAGACTGCTGGACTTCATGGTTGAGTCTGGAAAAAAAAGTAACTCATGACCCCAGACAGGACTGGCTGGAGTGAAAGAATGTACCTCATGACCCCAGACAGGGCCATCTGGAGTGAAAGGATCTACCTCATGACCCAAGAATGCTAAGGGGAGCCATACCCCTCTATAAATAAGGCCATGAACACGTTTAGGTTCAATTTGGTTCTCATCTCCCCCTCATCCTTACCCATCATTTCCATCATTTCCATTCCCATCCTTTCCATCCTTTCCATCATTCCCATCATCTCCTTTCTCTCTGAGGATTCTTCCAAGAAGAGCAAGAAACATCCCCATCTTGCATCCCCTTCACCATATGGTGCAAATGTCCCTGAAAAAAAAACCAGACCCAATCACTGCATTTACTTTCATAATTAGAATCAACACATAAATGCATATAGTCATGGCTTGATGGACTGATTCTATGATATTGGACCTAATGACAAGAATTCCTTGTGCAGCAAATGGTAACTTATAAATATTGATAGCTTGAGTAATAATTTCTGGAATAAATACCAGGCTTCATCCTGTTTACGGTATGTCTGGGCAATGAGGTATAGTACATGGTTCGAAATTATGAAATCAATTATTCGATATTATCAGAATATCAGTCCAGTTCAGAGCCAGTAAAGCTTATGCTTTTCCAGGCAGTAATGACAATATAGGTCCAGATTAGATTCTTGTGAAGATTCCAGTTTTCCATCATCATTGCAGCAACATAAGATCTGAAACGCTTCTGCAACGTATACATATTGAATAAGTAACGATTTTCAACGCCAATGGAATGCTCTTTCTCATCATTTGAGCAACGTCGACGTTTCGGATATTTACACATGGAAGCAACAATGTTCATCAACATTTCCTAAACGTTGTTGGAATATCTTGAGTTACTTGGGTATTCATCGCAGGTAGAAAACAGTGTCATCTCTTGGCTGTATGGATAACTGGTAGTTGTCATTACCATAGAGCGTTTGTAGATGTCACTGGAGAGAATGTCAGAAAATCCAGTTCCAAGTAGCACCAGAGCTTTTAATGAATGTTCAATGAACGTTCCATTCAAGGTGTTGCTAACGTTCTATGAACGTCCTTGGGAACGTTCCTTGACTGTTCAACTGCCTAAAATTTTTAAGCAATGAAAAACACGTCAAATCATGCTTTCCTGGAACGTTCATCCAAAACATAAATTTAATATTCCCAAAGAGCATGAAATGCTTCCATTTTGCCCAAGTAAACTCTATTCCTTTGATTGGGGTCTTAGGCAATCGGATCACCAATTATTGTAATCGGAAGTACTATCGTTCCTCATTTGGGAATGATAGTCCCCTCTTCTTTGGGTGCGAGCGAGGATACTTTTGCAAGCGCGGATATATCTCTTCGATATTAATAGACGAGGTAGCACCTAATACCTTTCTTCACCCCCTTTGCATAACAAAATTGAAACTACTCATATTCGTCTCTGAGAGCATCAACAGAAAAGAAACTGGCCAAGTTTCTTCCTCTCTTTACACAAAATAACTCCAGGAAATTTGAAGCTCCATCTCCCTGGGGTCGTGAAGATTTTTTTGAAGATGTGAATTTCATTCCATCTTTTTTTCCTCCCCCCTTGGTAGCCACTCCTGGTAAGGGAGGGGGGTTTGGAGGAAAAAGACCAACCATAATAATGATATTGACTCATAGATGATGAAAAGTACCCATTTCCATGTTTGTGATGGGTCATTCCCCATAAAAAATGAAATTGGCTGTGTTCATTTAAGCATAGAATTCTGGCTCCGTCCATCTCCCAGTGCTGCCGGAATTATGAAATTATGTCCGGATTCAAGAGTGCTTGAACCTTCGTTGTGGCGTCTGGATCTTCTGTTTACAAATGTATGAGACATTTTTGTGCTGAGTTCATGAGATGATCTGAGAATGGAGAGCTGGTTAGTGATCGATAGATGTAGTGGGATTCAATTGAGTCTGGTGCTACTGAACTGAAACTCGATCGCCACAATGTGCTTTGCAACCCCACCTGCAGGTCGTGTTGGGTCGGTCAGGCCCACCCGCTCAGGCATGAAAGCGTCAGAACTCCGGTTCCTCCTTTTTCAAGCGGTTCTACCGCCTCTGCTGAGGCTTCCAGCTATCCCATGAAGTCACGTTCGTGTTGGGCTGTATAGTGCTATCATAGTACGTGGCATACCTCTGCCAGCTACTTTAGGGAGTCTGGTCACCTGGGGCCATATTCTATTATTTATTTGAATGCCATTTCCCTTTTAACATGGTGTTTTGCTGGTATTTGCCCTGTTGAAATTCATGTCTGAGGTTGAGCATTTTGCTTTAATTTTACGATTTAAATATTGTAACGGCCCAGCCGGCACGACACCCAGTGAGTGGCCTAGCAGCTCTCTATGAGTCGCCCAGGAAGGCCACAGTGTGTGCATGACCCCCTAGGTGTCACGCCTGACCTCTCACCCTG